GAGGGGCGGGAGAGGGCCGGGCCGGGCGGGCCGCGCCGCGCCGTCGGCCCGTAGTGAGCGGGAGAACGCGTGAGAGGACAGCCGTGTTTGCTTTCCGAGTTTTTCAAAAAATGTGTCGTAGCGCATTGACCTCCTCCAATTCCTAACGTAAACGTAATTTGCAAGGAAGTGCGTTCACACGTCCTGTTTCATTTCCAACCTATGGAAAATATTTCTCCGTTACCTCCCAGTGAGGCAATTGTTACCTCATGCATGAACTTTCTGTTTTGAGGTAAAGGTATAAAGATCCATGCTGAAGTGCTTTGTGACCCTAGCGCAACGGAGGTGGTGAGGGACTTGAGAATAAGTCTTAGGAGGACCTGGGGGTGTTCAGCCTGGAGAAGAGGAGGCCGAGGGGTGACCTTATGGCTCTCTACAGCTCCCTGACAGGAGGGGGTCGCGAGGGGGGGTCGGTCTCTTCTCGCAAGTCACAACCCACGGGATAAGAGGAAATGGCCTGAAGTTGGGCCAGGGGAGGTTTAGGTGAGACATTAGGAAAAACTTGCGCACTGAAAGGGTTATCAAAGGCTGGCACAGGCTGCCCAGGGAAGGGGTTGCATCGCCATCCTTAGGTGTATTCAAAAGCTGTCTAGATACGGTGCTCAGGGACATGGTTTAGAAGTGGGCCTGGTGGAGTTGGATAATGGGTGGACTTGATGATCTTAAAGGTCTTTTCCAGCCATAACGATTCTGTGATTAGTGGTTAGGTTTGCGTGGTTTGGGTTTTTTTTTACTGAAAGCTTTCAAAGTCATCTTAAATATTCCTCTGTTTCAGGAAAAAATACATTGAAAGTGAACTAGAAGCTGCAGGAAGATGGTCTCACAAATGGGGATTCTTGAAAACACCTCTTGAGGTAAAATTGAATGGCATATAAGCAACACATGAAATTTGCTTTACACAAATTTATCTGGACACAAAATTATGAGAGCACCGAAGGCTAAAAAAGTAATGAGTATGCTTTACTCAGCTGAGTTTTGAGGTAACAAGTGCACTATTTTTAAGATGGGTTTAAAGTTTCAGTTTGAATAAAATACAGCAAATGGTAATTTATATCCTGTGCATATTCTGATATATTTCTCTTGAGAAACATGACTTCTAATACCGTTAACGAGTATTAGATGCACACTGACAGGAAAATATTTCCCCTTTGTCTATCCATATGGTAGTTTAAAAATCTAGGGGAAAAGGTTCTAGCTAATTAAATTTTCAGTGGGGGAATTTACAACAAATGAAAATATTTGGAGAGATGTCTATTCTCAGTGATGTTTCGATATTAGAATATAGTAGCACATAATGTTACATTTGGAATCACAGTATTTTGTTGCTATAAAACAGGATGGATGCAGCCCCTGAATAGTTATAAATGTACTTTCCATGGGGCTAGAATTAATCTGTTCTAGGATTTTTTTCTAAATTCTTGTAGGCATCCAGGTTAGCACCTTTGAAAACTTCGGTCCTCTAGGCTTCAGCGTCCATCCTTGATAACTGGTCCGTCGTGCACAGTACTAATAGATCTACAGCTGAGAAGTTGACAAACTATGCATTGTTACTATTGGTGAACATGTGTATTTAGCATTTATTAATGTTTGGTTTATGGTCATATAAGGTATATTTCTAGCCCTTTTTGGACCAGTGATATAGTTAAGAGAGTTGGAATCACTCAGCAATGTTTAGCCTTTCAGGTGAAATTCAGTTACATCACTTTTTGAAATCAAAAAATACATTACAATGATTTCCAAAGCACTACAATAAGTAGTCCTATTTTTGATGGGCAGAACAGGGAGTTCAGATGTCACAATGAGAGGAATGGTGTAGATATCAGATATTACAGCATATTGCAAAAGATAAAGAGTCCAGTTGTTAATGTTCATGTTTTGGTTTTAGTTGATTGAAGATGAAAAGAAAGAAAATACAAAGCCCAAGATACAGCTTCCAGAACATCTGCAGGTTCGACCTGTGACACCTGTGGAAAAATATATTAAGGTTAGAAAATTAGATTTTGAAATTGCAATACAGCAATATCTGTCTTAAGAAACCACATAAGCTCTAAAAATCATTTGTAGTGTAGAGGTGGGCCTTTAGCTAAAGGTCAAAGTAAATTGTATTTGCAACCTGAGCAATGTTTTAAAAGCATTCATTTAAGACAAGGAATTGTCCTTTGGATACGGTTGTTAGTTCACAGAGCTTTCACTGTACATCATCATCTTTCCGTAAAGCGCCTCTCCCATGCACTCCTCTGTGACATCTAGTAACAGAACAGTCAACTGTACAGCTTAGTACAGACAAGTGCTCGCAGAGCCATTTATCACTGCCGACCATTCATTGCTCAAATATATATATACATCTTACTTCAAGGCGTAACCTTAACTCTCGGTTTTAACTATTGGTTAAGATGCGGGCCTTTTTCTAGCTTTATTTAAGACAGTCGTCTTTTTGGCAGAGACAATGCCACTATCCTTTTAAGTGGCACAAATTAGTAGGAAGCCAGTTCTACTGAGCCAATAAATAACTTTGATTTTATGTGATATGATTTATACTCACATATTCAGAGTCTAAAAGTTGTCAAACAGCTGGAAATGAGAGTGGAATTTGACTGATTGTTTGATTTATAAATATACAGTGTCAGAATCACCAAGGAATATGATAACTATACAGGCAGCTAAATCAGTAACATTGGGAAAGGAGCGTATTCATAACAGGGGAAGCAGAGCATGCTAACAAAAAGGAAGGTTAGTCCACTTAGAGAAGATTAAGGAAACAAAGAGATTGGAAATTCTTACTTGCTGAACTAGCTTTCTCTCAGAGGATTCCAAGGGTGGGGAGATAAGGTGAGGAAGTAGTAAAAGCTTGTACTGAGATTAAATTGAAACAAAAATTAACAGCTAGTGCTGAGGGTGGGGGAGAAATGAAATGGCGGCATTTCTGCCATTAGTGCTACTTGTTCTTCTGTTTCTTGTCCAGCCTGCAATTTCAGTAAGGTTTACCTGTGCTTCAGCACAGTGAGCGTGTGTGTGAGCGTGTGTGTGAGCGTGTGTGTGTGTGTTAACAAATCACACAGACAGTTATCAGCTGCTAAAGTAGTGTGCATAGCCTGGTGCATACTGAAGTAGGGATCATAGTTTCAATTTCACCTCAGAATCTTTATTTGCTAAGGAAGATAAGGGTTAGCTGTGATTTAGGTCACCCTTTACATATTCAGAGTGAAGTTTCTTAAGTCCTTACTCAGAACTATGCATCTTTCTGCACGTTTACCTTCATGGTAACAGTCATCATATCTGTTCTTCTCTCTAGGTTAGATAAGTAATTGCTTCTTCGTAATCCTTCCCCCAGATCGTAAGTGGGACATGATTTCCTTCATTGTCCTACTCAGTGGGTGGCACTTTTGGCCACAAAAATTATCTTTTCAGAGGAACTGCTCCACCTAAATATCATAAACATTTTCTAATCTTGGCCAAAGAACAAAGTGAAGCAGCTCTGGCAAGAGAACTGAAACATTGTTCTCTTGCTGTGTACTTCTCTAAGTCCCCAGATGCTAAAATGATATAACATGCCCAATTGCGATGATTCAGCCAAAGTAAGCACAGCAGTGAACAGAGACTGTTGGCTTTTGGTTTGTTTCCTTTTTAGCTAGATTAGTTGCAGATTAACTTGATGCTTACCCTTCTTTTAAAGTAGAAGGAAGGTGGAACAAATAAGTAGTTCTTGATGCAAAGGACAGCTTAGTCAGTAATATCTTTAGCATTTGGCCACAAAAATATTATTCTGTAGCTACACTTCTACCAAATACCTTACAGCAAGTATAAAATGCTATTTCCCATTTAGAGAAGTTAACTAGTTTTAAAGACTGTTATTATTATTATTGTTATTGTTGTTGTTGTTATTATTATGATTATGATGGTGATGATGATGATGATGTAAGGAAAAAAGCTAAAGCTGAAGATAAAATTCTTCTCCTAATAATGTAAAGCCAGTAAACTCCTGAGAAAGCTATTGTGCAAAACTTAAAAAAAAAAGTATGCTAACATACACTACTAAACAATAACTTTGCTTTTTGATTTCCTGTTATACGTACAAATTTAGGCACAATTTCTTTTTTTTAA